GTGCGGACGTGCCAGGCCGGAGGTTTCAGGGCAGGGACGCGAGGAAGGCAGCGGCCTGGGTGGGGAGGACGCGGCACGAGGCAGAGGACTGGAGTGGCGCTGGGCGCAGGGCCTTTGCTTTTCAGCCAAGGCTGAGGAGAGAGGTCCCGCGGAGGAGGAAGACTCAAGACGGAGGAAGGAGGGAGAAGGCCCTGCAGATGTCGCATCTTCCACGTGCCGCAGGGAGCTCTTCAGCTGAGGGGCAGGGAGGGTGCGGAGGTTTGAAGAGACAGAAGGTGTGGAAGGGGTTGCCGAGAACGCAGGAGGGAGCAGTCTAAGGAAGCAGTGGACTCCAGGCAGAGCTGGGGGCCTCACGAGACCTGGCCGCGGATCCAACACGGGCCAGGCCACAGGCCCCGCGGCCAGCAGAGCAGGCGGGTGCTGAGGTTGTGCCAGGCGAGCGTAGAGGCAGGCAGGGCACGGGCGCCAAGCACGTCTAGCGGCCAGCCAGTGTACACGATGACCACGAGTTCCACACAAGGAAGGGGCCTGGGCCGGGGCTTGGTGGTGCTGGTGGCGCGACGCACTGCCAGAGCGGGGAGGGGCCGCTTGGGTCCAGATCTTGGAAGCATAGTTACCAGGAACAAGAAATGGACAGACCATGGGGATGGGTGGCTGCAAGGGGTAGAGGTCAAGATCATTGCAGGTGAGAGGCTGAGGAAGAGGCCACATTGTTGGAAGGATCCTACTGTGGACAGAGTGTTGCCAAGAACGGCTGCAGCAGGACAGTAAGCAAGCAAGGCAGGCAAGGCTGTGGCAGACGCTGACAGGGAGGTGTGATGTGATGGCTTTGCTGTGGGAGGCTGGTGGGAAGGATAAGGGCACTGGAAATGCAGTGGGGGCAGGGACACCCCCAGGCCCACGGTACACTGGGTGTGGGAAGAAAAAGAGACTTTCTTAAAAGGGCTGCAAGGGAGAGCGTGGGTCTCGGTAAGGCCAGAGGTAGAGGGAAGGGGGAGGGACGCAGGTTGCTGAAACGAGGAGCCCGCAGCTGGTGTCTGGGGCCAGGCACCATTCAGAGAAAATGGTCATAATCATAGGAATTTTGCTGATGACAGGACAGAGTTCCAGAATGCAGTGATTTGGGGGCAGGAGATGGGAGTGCCCTAAAAGTGAGATAATAAAAGGCAGAAAAGGGTCAGTTTGGATAGTCTTAGAGCAAGTTCTGTGACAGCCAGGGCAGCGTGTAGCGTTGAGGTTGAGGGTCTTCAGGCTGGGAGGTGGGAGCTTGGCAGGAGCCCAGGACCCGGCAAGACACACCATGGCTTCCCGTGAACCCCACGAGCGCAGTGTTTAGGCCAATGCACGTCTGCTGAGGAAAGCTCTGTGGCAGGGCAGGGAGGGCTCACCTGAGGTGCCATGTGACGTGCCAGGGCCTTTGCATGGAGCAGGTGAGGAGGTCCAGCCCTGGGCCTCCCGCAGTAGTGTGAACGCGCTCGGCTCCCAGAGGGGCCAGGCGCAGCTCAGAGGCCGGGCTGCCGGCCTGCCAGAAAGCCAGCCAGCAGCCTCCCACCCTGCCCAGGCCGGAGTCCCCAGGGCACCTCGCCATCCAGCTCTGCTAACAGGATTCTCTCCTTCCTGCTGAGGGGTGCTGGTGGGCACAGAGCACGGCTGGCAGGATTGGGGCCAGGCCCTGAAATCCTGGGCGGGGGTGCTGTGCCTGGTCCAGGGACGCGGGCGTTGAGGTGCTGAAAGGCCACGCAGCTGTGAGCAGGAGAACCAGGTTATGTCAGAGCTCACGTCCTGGCTGGCCGTCCTGCTGCATGGCCTCTTGACAGCTTCCACCCCGCACAGTGGCCCAGCGTGTGCGGGGCAGGGAGGGGGCGGTGGCGGACCCTGGAGGCTGGGTCAGCAAAGGCTGCGGCCCCACTGGCCTGCTCCCATGGGGGAGGTACTATAGGGGAGAGAGGCAGCCCCAGGCCTGGGCTCTCTGAAAATGTGGCACTTTATTACATAAAACTATTCTGTCCTCCCCAGCCCCACCACAGGCTGTGCTTCAGGCTGATGGGGCAGCGGCCGACTCTGGAGAGACAGCCCTTCAGTATCTGAGAGCTCCTCGGCCTGCCCGGCCAGACTCAGGGTGGGGGCAGAGGGGACAGTGCCTTCACCCAGGGGTACCCTGGGGCATGCTGGGCCCGGGGTCGCTCTGTGTGTCTGCAGGCCGACTGTTGTAGCCCAGCTTCCTCATGTCCTTGGTCACCACGTTGAAGAAGAGGGTGACGAAGCCCTGAGACCGGACGCGGGTCACTGGGGACAGAAGGTCAGCGTCAGGTGGGCCGGGCTGGGGCAGAGACAGACCCCAGCTGCCTTGGGAATCTCTCTGCCTCAGTGTTCTCTTCTGTAAAATGAGGATGACAGTGCCTGGCCTGTGTCCCTCACTGGAAGGCAAAGGGGCTGGAACAAGGACAGACAGACAAACAGATATGGCAAACCCTCTGTTCTTCCACCAGGCCCTCATCTGGGAAAGTTCCTAGGCCAGCTCCAGGTGCTGGGCAGGTCCCAGGCCCTGAGCCCACCTAGTCCCACCCAGGCTCCAACCTGCCTGTGCAGTGGGGGGCATCATGCTTTACCTTCCCGGCCTTCACCCTGAGCCACCACCTTGGGGTCTGTGTACTCGGGCCGCCGTCCCATGAACCAGCTGGGAACACAGGAGAACATGGGTGAGCAGGGCCCCAGCCTGGGTATTCCTGGCCTCAGACACCAGCTCTTCTTGTTTCAGAACCCTGCATCACTCGCCCAACTCTGCCAGGGTCTGTCTTCACGAGCCCACCCGCCCTCTGCCCTCATTTTAACAGCGTCTCTCGTCTGAGTCTCCACACAGCCAGTGGAGGCCTGGCAGGGCATCCACCAGGTCTCAGGTCTCTGCAGCCCCACACGCCACCTCGGCTGCAGTGTCATGTTTTTTCTATCCCAGTCTCCCATGGGTTTGACTCACTGGGGGCTGCAAACTGAGGGATCTGGGGCTGGGTGGGGGTGCAGCCTGAACCTAGGTGGAAATCCCAGAAAGGTGACAGTAGTTTAGTGGGGGAGGGGAGAGAACAGTGACCCCCCCCCAGCCTCCCAAGGAAGGAGGCTCAAGAGTCTGTGAGTTGGGCAGAGGGCCAGATCTGGGACCCCAGCTTTTCCTCTTAGTAGCCTGGGATCTAGGACAAGTCACCTCCCATCTCTGAGTCTCAATCTTGCCAGCTGTGAAATGGGGATCCTATGGCACCTACCTCATGGGGCGGTGGGGTGAAGGCACTCTGTCAACAGCCAGATAAAACATTACCCCTCCTACCTAGGCGGTGGCCCTGGGATGCTCTGAGGTGACACACTGTCATCTGACTCCACAGGCCGTCCTGCTAAGCCACAGCCCTCAGCCACGAGGGCCTGGGACACCCCTGCGGAGCCGGCTCCAGGGACTGGCGTCCAGGCCACGCCTCCGACACACCCACTCGAGCCGGAAAGAAGACGGTGCACTATTCCCGGCCGGGTGGGTCCGGCAGCCGCGGGCTTCGCCCTGGCGGGCAACCAGGACAGACTCGCGGGCAACCGGCGCCCTCAGCTCCGCAGCTCCGCCCTCGCCGGCCGCCCTCCCCGCGGAGACACCGACCCCTCCTCCCGCACCAGGCTCCAGCGCGGGAGGGGCTCTGGGGAGGGCGGGCCGCTGGTAACCGTGACAACGCATGGCCGTCCGAGCCGCCGGCCAGCCCTTCCGCTGACAAGGGCCAGCCCTGGCTTGCGCCCCTGAAGGCAGGCAGCAGCGCCCACCCGGCCCGGGCTCCAGGGGAGGGTGTCCCGGCAGGGGAGAGTGTGAGAGTGTCCCGGCAGGGAGGGGAGGGGAGGGGAGGGGAGGGCTCCCAGCCAGGCGGGGCAGCGCCTCGAGGGAGGGAACTGGGAGTGAAACACCTGGATGCCACTCCAGAAGGGGACAGGCTGGGCGGGCCAGAGCCTCTCTCTGCGACTCCACCCTAGGGCAGGGCTCTGGCAGCACCCGCCTCAGGTGGCTGTGAGGACTGAGGCACCGGGAGCAGTCCCCACTGAGCCCCACGGGTCACAAGTGCTAATACACCGGGCTACCATGCTCCCTGCGTTTCTGATTCTCCCTGGGCTCCACCAGGGCGGTCTGCCCGCGGACCGGGGTGTGAGAGGCAAGACCGGGAGCATGTTCCAGGCAAGGGCCTGGGGCAGGAAGGGCCCAGTGGGCTGGGGAAGCAGGCAGAGCCCCCAGCAGAGCTGTGCAGCGTCCTCAAAAGGGGTGGAGACGCCCCTGCACTGGGCTGCTGTCCCTCAGGCCCAGCACAAACCTCGCTGCTCTGCAGGCCATAGGCCTCTGTGGGTACAGAGCCCTCTCCTCAGAGAGCGCCCACCTACAGGCCCATGCGCTTCTGTGGGCCAGGACGGCCATGGAGACTCTCAAAGCTCCTTAATCTTCCCCAAGCCCACAGACGTGCACTGCTCCATTGCGTCCCTGACAGCCCTGTGGGGTGGGTGCTGTCATCTCCAGGTGGCACTGGCCCAAGGCATCTGGTAAAAAAGTCTCTTCCCACACAGCAGCCTCCCAGAGGGGCTCCTAGGGGCAATGGGAACCTAAATTCTTGGGCTGAGGCCAATGGAGACACGGCTGTACCTCCCGCCATAGGCCTCAGAGCTCAGTGAGGCGGCCCCAGCGCTGAGGCTTGATGCCATCCTCTGCCCAGCAGGGCTCTGGCCAGGTCTCACCCAGTACTGGGCAGGCCCAGGGCTCCTTTGCCCCCACCCCCCATCCCCACCTGGACATGGTAAGGGGTAAGACGCCCTCCCCTGGGGCTGCCTCCAGACATCCTGGGCCTCCCGGCAGGCCCTCATGTCCTGGCCCTGCCTGCCTCCCCTGGCATCTCCCCACATCTCCCCTTGCTCACTACTCACCGGCCAGACGTCCTGGCTGCCCCTAACATGCAAGGCCCACACTGAGCTCAAGGCCTGGAACATGCTGTTCCCTGCGCCCGCCATGTTCTCCCCCACCCCCATCTTCCCACTCAGTCTCTCTGCTCAAATGTCAGCTCCTCCCAGAGACCCCGTATGTAAAGGCATTTAGTGACTTACTGAGAAAAGCTCCCCATTATCTTATTACTGTTTTAAGGTGTTCAGCTCATACTGCTGTATCCTGTTTACTACCCTTTAATGTCACAATATGTCATGAGCATTTTTCCATTAGACAAGAGTGTTTCCTCTGCTCCATCCAACACAAAGATTTTTAACAAGGCACAGAGTAAAACTACGTGGACACATGCTGCCAGAACAGCAGCTGTAGGGAGCCCAGTGACTGTCAGCACCCCCGTGGGACCTGTTTCTAGTTGTCCACACTCAATGGAGCAACTTGAAGATCTGAGGAGGTGACCAGGACACAAAGAAGGTTGGAATGTGACACCCATTCCTCCTCTAGATCAGAAAGAGGGCTAGGGGTTAGGGTAGAAAACTCACCTTGTAAACTTTTGCAGTTTAGATGTAGATTCTGGGACAAACATGGGGATGGTCCTCTTGTGTCTGAAACAAACGTTTTCGCAGACAGATGCAGAGCAACAGGTAAGGACAGAGCTGCTGAGCCTCCAGCCAGTAGCGAGCAGCAACACTCCCAGATCAGGCCCGTGCAGCCGCCGCTTGGCTGAGTCAAGGTCAATGCCAACAAATCTAACCTGCGCTGGCTGAGCGCGGGGAGACAGCAGTGACCATCACCAGCCCAGGCCCAGCCTCACCAAGGTCAGAGTCCGTGAGGGTCTTTTTCTTTCAGGGCCCACTCCCTCCCCGCCCCCTGGTGTGCAGCTGTCAGCATGAGCCTCCCCACCCACCTGCGTGCATTTTTTCCCAGATCCGGGCTGCACCCCCCCACCATCCATGCCGAGTTGCCCAGGCCCCTGGGGGGCCCCAGAGGATTCCCAGCCTGACCTGAGACAGATGGGGTGATGCCTGTCCCTAGGACATGCCCTGTTGAGGGTGCCTGGGTCCCAGGTGAGCATGGCCCGGGGAGAGACAGGCTGAGGCCCAGCGACCAGGTCAGAGTGAGGACCTACCGGCCAGGTGAGAAGGGCACGTGCACCGCCCCGTAGCCTCGGACCACGTCGTTCCCGAACACGTCTGGTCCATACACACTGAGCACAATCTGTGGCCCTTGGGAAGGACAAGGCAGGGGGTTGGCAGGTGGGGACACATAGGGAAGGTGCAGGGCAGAGAATAGGGGGTGTTGGGCTGAATCACAGGATGGTGCTGAAAGCCCTGGGGCTGCAGGCTGAAGGAAGGCAGGAACAGATGTGGGAACCTGGACTGCACCAAGGGCTTCTGCCCACCCTGGTACCGCCCGTGCCTACAGTGTTGCCTGGGCAGGCACTTTCCACCACCCCTCTCACAGCTGGGGAGACAGAACCAAAATGTTGTCCCTACTCTGTGCAGGCCCTGTGCCAGGCACTGGTCCCTAGCAGTGATCAGAGCAGATGAAGGGCCTGCCTGCTCTCTGGGAGCTTCCTTCCTGATAGAGATGGTCACAGTCAAACACGCACCAGACAGGCTCACAGGACTGGGGCGAGGGGGTTGGTTTGGGGGTGTCTAAGAGAAGTTAGAGAGAAAACGAAGACCTTCTGGGAGGCTGCCTTTAAAAATTAACAATGACGCCTGTTTCCTGCTAACACCAGGTCACATTAGGTGCTTTCACCTCACTGGTTTCTCTGTCCCCTACATGTAGGAGAGAGATCATTGTCCCAGGTGGAAGGTGAGGCAGTGAGGCCCAGGAAGAGCCCGGAGGTGGCCTGCCAGGCTCCAATCCTGCCACCAGTGTGACCTCAGGCAAGTTACCTAACCTCTCTGCCCCTCAGTTTCCTCATCTCTGAAACACCTGGCATGCAGCCTATGAGTAGTAAGCGCTCATGAAATATTAGGGTCAGGTTCTCACCTCCCTCCACTAGACCCCACCAAAGGTGACCACTCTTCTTAAGTGCAGGAAACCAACTCTTTACTTTTCTTTAAGGCTTCACTGCCAAAGAATGCATCCCACACATGGTACTTTAGTTTTACCCATGTTTTTATAACTTTATATAAAAGGAATCATAGGCTGGGTGCAGGGGCTCACGTCTATAACCCCAGAACTTTGGGAGATTGAAGTTGGGGATTGCTTGAAGCCAGGAGGTTGAGACCAGCATGAGCGACATAGTGAGACTTTGTCTCTACAGAAAAAAAAAAAAAAAATTAGCCAGGCATGGTAGCGCACAGCTGTATTCCCAGCTACTTGGGAGGCAGAGGCAGAAGGATGGCTTGAGCCTGTGAATCTGAGCTATGATGACACCACTGCACTCCAACATGGGCAACAACAGAGTGCAACCCTGTCTCAAACTCAAAAAAAAAAAAAAAAAAAAGGAAACATGTAGTATGTATATTTTTGTACTTAGCCTCTTTAATTCAACATTACGTTTGTGAGATTCACTCAAATGGCTTCATCTACAGGGGTTTGCTAATTTTCAACGCTGTATTATATTCTACCATCAAAATATGCCACAGTAACCATTCACTCTAGTGCTGAGGGACAGGTAGTCTGTCCCTCCTCTGGGGGTTGTGGCACACAGTGAGGTGATGAGCTCTGTTGCATAGGCTCTTGGCACACTTCTCTGCTGGGTGTACACCCAAGAAGGGCATCGTAGCACAGGGCATGTCTATGTTCCCTTCTTAAAGGTAACAAACACCAACCTGCATTCTCCCCAGCAGTGCCATCTGAGCTCCTGCTACTCTACCTTGTCAAAACTTGGCATTATCAATCTTTTAAATTTGAGTTATTCTTTTTTTTTTTTAAGACAGAGTTGCCCAGGCTAGAGTGCCATGGTGTCAGCCTAGCTCACTGTAACCTCAAACTCCTGGGCTCAAGTGATCCTCCTTTTTTAGCCTCCCACGTAGCTGGGATTACAGGCACATGTCACCACATCTGGCTAATTTTTTCTATTTTTAGTTGTCTGGCTAATTTTTTTTCTATTTTTAGTAGAGATGGGGTCTTGCTCTTGCTCAGCTCTTGCTTTTATATTCTCTCGAACTCCTGAGCTCAAGCAGCCCTCCTGCCTCAGCCACTCAGAGTGCTGAGATTACAGGCGTGAGTCACCTCGCCTGGCCAAATTTGAGATATTCTAATGAGAGAATAGTGGTAGCTCACTGTAGGTTTAATATGCATTCCTTAATTTTTTTTCTCAACAAAATAAGGTTGAGACCTCTTCTTGTTTCTTGGTCACTTGGCTGTCCTCTTTTGTGAAGAACCTGCTCACGTCTCTTGCCCAGCTTTCTACTAGATGCTTTTCTTGTTGCTTTTCAGTATGTACGTACGTGCGCATGACCTGTGACTTGTCTTTTCACTCTTAATGACATCTCTGGATGAACAGAAGCCCTTGATTTTAATACAGTCAACTTCATTTATCTTCTCCTTTAAGGAGTCCTTAGAAAATCTTCCCTTACTCTGATATCATGCTATAGGCTCCCACACTATCTTCCTGATGCTTATCATCTTGTCCTTCACATTTGGACTTACATATGCATGCAAAAAACTAACTTATATATGTGCGGTCAGGCTTCATTTTTTTATCCCATTGTCCCAGCACCATTTACTGGAAAGACCCTCCTTTCTATAACCTACTCTGCTTGCTACCTTTGTCATGAACCAACACGTGCTTAGGTCTGTCTTGGGGGTCTCTATGGATCTCTTTGTGCCAAAACTACATTGTCTTAATTACTGTGCTTTATAACTAAACCTTGATAGCAGGTAGAACATATTTTACATTTTGATATTATTATATCTTGTTATATTTTGATATTATTGTAAAGAACATATGTATTTTGAAAATATTTTCTATTTATTGCTGGTATACAAGAAGCAATTGATTTTTATACAGCAATCGTGCTGTTCTATTAATTCTAATAATTTAGCTATAGATTATTTTTGAAATTCTATATGATTATGTCATATGTGAATAATGACTATTTTTTTTTCCTTTCTAATTCTTATAGCATTTACTTGTACAATGTTGGTGGTAATAACAAGCATTTTCATCTCAGAAGAAAATCTTTCAACATTTTACTAGTAAAAGTGGTATTTGCTCTAAGCTTTTGTAGATAACCTTTATCAGATTAAGGAAGTTTGCTTCTATTTCTAGTTTACTAAGCTTTTATCATGAATGGATGTTGAATTTTATCATGTGTTTTCTTCATTTATGGGGATGATCATGACTTTTCTTCTTTTTAATGTGGGAATCACACTGGTTGATTTTAGATGTCATATAAGGTTTGTATTTTTTTAATAAACCCTTCTCATGATATATTATCCTTTTTATATCTTGCTAGATTCAGTTTGTAAATATTTTGTTTGAGATTTTTGGAAGTGTTCATGAGTGAGTTCCTTTTTAATATCTTCAACAGGCATTCGAATCAAAATAATGCTGATCTAAAAAAATGAGTTAGGGAATGTTTAATCTTTTTGGTTCTAAGAGTTTTGTGTAAGTAAGCCTGGTGTTATTTTTTCCTTAAATATTTACTGGAATTCACTAAAAAGACATTTGGGCGTAGAGTTTTGTGAGAAAATTGCTAAATTATAGATTCAATTTAATAGATACAGGACTACTCATATTCTCTTTTTGTGTCAGTTTTGGTAGTTATATTTTTCTAGGAATTTGACCATTTTTTCTAACTTGCCAAATGTTTAGCAAATAGCTGTTCTTAATATCTTTTCATTGTCTGCAAAATCTGTGATTATGTCCCTTTTTTCATTCTTGCCATTTCTGTCTTCTCTTATTGATCATCTTAACCTGCACATTTCAATTGTAAAAAACAACTTTTTTCGTTTATTTTTTTGAATCGAGATGTGAGAAGGTAACCTGTCTTTTTCATCTTCTCTAATGTAAATGTGCTTTCTGTTAATTTCTGCTCTTTTTCATTCTTATACTTCCTTTGGGTTTAATTTGCTGTTATTTTACTAATTTCTTTTTATTTTTTTATTTTAGCGTATTATGGGGGTACAAGTGTTAAGGTTACATATATTGCTCATACTCCCCTCCCCCCTTACTAATTTCTTAAGATGGTGCTTAGAGTACTAATTTTCCAGCCTATCTTCTTTTCTAACATATGCAATTAAAACTACAAAATTTCCTTGTAACCAGGATTTTAACTGTCCCCTACAAGTTTAAATAGCCTAAGTACTTTCACCATAATTCAATTCAAAATTCCATTATTCTATTATTATTTCTTCTTTGACATATGGGTTATTCTTATAAGTGATTTTCTTTTTTTTTTTTTTTTTTGAGACAGAGTCTCACTGTGTTGCCGGGGCTAGAGTGCCATGGCGTCAGCCTAGCTCACAGCAACTTCAAACCCCTGGGCTCAAGTGATCCCCCTGCCTCAGCCTCCCAAGTAGCTGGGACTACAGGCATGCACCACCATGCCTGGCTAATTTTTTTTTCTATGCATATTTTTAGTAATTTCTTTCTATTTTTAGTAGAGATGGGGTCTCGCTCTTGCTCAGGCTGGTCTCAAACTCCTGAGCTCAAACGATCGCCAGCCTCGGCCTACCAGAGTGCTAGGATTATAGGTGTGAGCCACCACGCCCGGCCTATAAGTGATTTTCTTATCTTTTAAACATAAGGTGATTTTCTCATTAACTTTTGGTTATTGATCCCTAACTTAATTTCACTATGGCCAAAGAAAATATTCCACTCCCCCAGAAAAGGTGAAAGAGTTTCCCAGTGAATCCTTGATTACTCACTACCTAGATTACCATAACGACTGACTATGCTAGCTTTAGCACGTATCTTTCCATGCTTCAATCTATCCTACTTATTGTGAGGAATTTCAAAGTTGCAGATATCTGTATACTTTCTCTTTAAAACAGTTTTTAAGGCCAGGCCTGGTGGCTCTCGCCTGTAATCCTAGCACTCTGGGAGGCCGAGGCGGGTGGCTCGCTCAAGGTCAGCAGTTCGAAACCAGTCAGAGCAAGAGCGAGACCCCATCTCTACTAAAAATAGAAAGAAATTAATTGGTCAACTAAAAATATATAGAAAAAATTAGCCGGGCATGGTGGCGCATGCCTGTAGTCTCAGCTACTCAGGAGGCTGAGGCAGGAGGATTGCTTGAGCTCAGGAGTTTGAGGTTGCTGTGAGCTAGGCTGACGCCATGGCACTCTAGCCAGGGCAACAGAGTGAGACTCTGTCTCAAAAAATAAATAAATAAATAATAAAACAGTTTTTAAGTTAAAATTTTTTTTAATTCTTACGGGTATATAATAGTTGTATGTGTACTTTTTTTTTTTTTTTGAGACAAAGCTGTCACCTAGGCTAGAATGCAACGGCTTCATCACAGCTCACAGCAACCTCAAACCCTTGGGCTCAAGCCATTCTCCTGCCTTAGCCTCCCAAGCTGGGACAACAGGTGCACACCACCAAGCCTGGCTAAATTTTTTTCCTATTTTTGTAGAGATGGGGTCTTGCTCTTGCTCAGGATGGTCTTGAACTCCTGGCCTCAAGTGATCCCCTCCCACCTTGGCCTCCCAGAGTGCTAGGAATGAGCCACCTTGCCCAGCCAGCGTACACTTTCTTTAAAATACTTCACTATGTATATCATTAACTAGAGCTCAACATTTTTTCATAGTTCTGGAGATGAAATTTACACACAACAAAACACACAAGTCTTAAGTATACTATCCAATGGATTTTGACAAATACACACACCAGTGTGACCCAAATCCAGTTGCTTTAAAGATTTTCTTTTCATCTTTAGTTTTCAACTGTTTTATTATTATGCATCTAGGCATGGATTTCTTACATTTA